CTCTCTCTCTCTCTCTCTCTCTCTCTCTCTCTCTCTCTCTCTCTCTCTCTCTCTCTCTCTCTCTCTCTCTCTCTCTCTCTCCCCTCTCTTTCTCTCTCTCAATTCTTCGGCCTCTCTGCCTCACTGCTTTCAGGCTCTCCCTCTCCGTCTCTCGCCTAGGATCTACCCTGAATACAGCTGCGGTGTAACCTTCACTCTGGGCGACTATGGCCGCTGTCTTCCTCTTCCCAACTACTCTAACTATGGCTGACTCTCGTAGCCAGCGCGCTTGCTCTTTCCCCGGTGCTTCGTCCTTTGTGCAGGTCGCGTTATCGCACAAGCAGCTAGCAGCGCTTCCGCAACTTTGTGAATGCACATCTGCCTTCGCTTGGCAATGTAGCAGCTAAATATAGTTGCAGTTGACTGTTCGTGCCTGCTTCGGAAAGTCTGGGGTTTCGATCCTTGCCAATGTCTGGTGGTTCCGGAAGTCTTTGGGCTTTCTTGGGACGCTGCTGCAATTTTGGACTTGGGACTTGACTTCCTCTACAGGTACCGGTGGACCTTACCGGACTGCGATGCTTTGGTTTGTGACTTCTACCGACCTATGATGCTTTGGTCTACAGACCCTAAGAACTATCCTACCGGGACAGCCTGGGACCGGGACGGGTTGGGACCTTGGGACTGGGTTTCTGGTGTGTAACTGTGTAAAATCCTTTCACTATCAACAGCTGCAGATGAAAGGTTCCCAGACCAGCCAAAGATTGATGGAATGTGTGTTTTTTCGTTGTTGTCTTTTGTTGTACTGCCTTGCAGTTCAAGATGAAAAAGTCCGAGGATGGAGTTTTCTCTGTCACGCTCCAGCTTTATCCAGGTCGATACGAGGTAGGTAGTAGGAAGGGTTTTTTTTTTTTTTTTTTTTCAAATAATCATGAATAATTTACGACATTTGAGTTTTGACGATATGTGTAATAATCTAGGCTACCAGCTGGGCTGCCCGGGTCACCCTATTATCCCGGGCCGCCCGGCCGTGCAAGGACTAGGGAAGGTCCCAGCCAAAAAAAAAAAAAAATCCAAAAAATCCCGAAAAAAACTATGTTATGCAGAAAAATAAACTGGACAAATTTTGCCTCTGGTTCATATCGAAATTCCTTACCAATTTTAAAATAAAAATTTAAATTTTAAAATAAAAAATAATGTTATTTTTAGTATATATATTTTTTCTTTTTTTTCTTTTTGGCCTGACCGGGAAGTCGACGCGGGCCACTCTGGTAGCCTAGGTAATAATTACTATAATAGCTATTAATAAAAGAAGATAATTAATAAATATAGAAGTGGGATGGTAGCTGTTGATGAGCAGATGATTTGCTTTGCTGCTCACCGAGTCTCGGAGCGTTCCTGGACTTTGTGATTGACACTTCTGAACAACTGGTGATTTCCTTAGCTCCCTTCTCACACCCCTGTTTTGTTTCCTTTCTATGAAAATTCTTCGAGGACTGGGCATTTCTTGATCTGTGTGTCATCCTCATGCGGATGCCATGCTTGATGTTGTCTCCTTTTCTGTTTTTTTTTTTCTCAAGTTCTTAAACACATGTCTGTACCAGCTTTCTTCTACATACACCTGTGTAGAAGCACCCAAAGGAGAATTTGGTGTATATTTAGCTAGCAACGGAACCAATCGTCCTTATCGTTGTAAAATTCGAGCACATGGTTTTGCTCATTCACGAGGGCTTGATTTTATGTCATAATATCACATGCTCGCAGATGTGGTTACTATCATAGGTGCTCATTTCGAGATCGAAAGCTCTGGTGAAGAAGCAATGGAAAAAAGGTAACAATCATATATGAAGTATTATGAACATAAAGCAAAACTCTAAAAAGGAATATCTATTTTTATCTACGATGTATTAATGTTAAAGTTCTTCCGGTCACGTGTAAAGCTATGTCGTGACCTACCTCGACTGGATTCTGCCCATCTGCGAGATAGGCTGTCCGATAAGCAGTGAATTTAATTCCCCGGCCTCTATCGACGTCCTGCCTGAAAACACGACTGACCAAAAAGGAAACTACAGGCGGCGCGACCATCTCAATGTGGAAAACCAAACGTGAACTAACACTCCGAGTCATGATGGGCGTCGGTCCACCACCCACCAGCGGTCACAATCCCAAAAGGGAGGAAAAGAAAAGAGCGAAACAAAAAGAGAGAGAGAGAGAGAGAGAGAGAGAGAGAGAGAGAGAGAGAGAGAGAGAGAGAGAGAG